ATATAAAAAAAAAACTTCATCGTCAGGCAGAATGATAATTAAAAATCAAATTATAAGAGATAAAAAAAAACTTCTGGCACTATGATAATGTGGCATTAATAAATTATAAGATCGTTTCTGCCTTTAAGTCTACTATTTCTATTAGTTTATGGAAGCATAAAAATGAAAAAGACAGAAAATATCGATACACTCCCTTCTAAGGCAGAAGTATTTTACTACCTGGGGACAGCTGCAAAGAGGTACTGAGTAATATTATTTGTGTATATTATATTTGATCGCAAGGAAAAGAAAGCTAGAAGGTAGCTAGGTAGTTTAAAACTGGAAATGAAGGACACGGAGAAAAAGAAAGAAATATAGATAAGAAAATTATACATATGTATCACATTTATTAAAATTAAATATGGGATTATATAAGACTGACTATATCGAAGCAACTTTTGTTATTTTAGTTTTTACATATAGGCAATACTTTTCAACATATTCGAGAGTGGAGAAGTCAAGTTTTCAACAAGAAAATAATCCACGTTTTCAGACAGTTTTTTATGCACAACTCCATAAATGTTTTATGAAAAAAAAACATAGGAGTACAATTGTAGAAAATATTGATTTTAAAAAAAGCAAATACTGAGTTTAAAATATCACTATACTGAATACTTACGGAGTATATTAGATTGTTAGTATATAAGTGAATATATAATCAATCAATATATAAGTTGGTTTTTCTTCGTCAAACGCTAAAGTTTCAACATGAAATATCCAAAAAACAATGCATGCGGAGAACTCATAGATTTTTTTAGGTGCTATAAAAATCCTTTATTTTGTTTTCTATGGAAGTTCCTAGAATAAATATTAAGCGAGTTATAATAAAGACAAAATTGAGCACTATTTCTTGGCGACAAAATAATTTGAAAATCGACCCGTAAACACCCCGTTTGAAAATGATCGTTAGCACTTTATAGTTTACTTACTTTATGTACTTGTCATAATGCCTTATATGTTATGACAAGTTTAAAGAGCATTATTATCTTTGAAAAAAAATAAGGTTGAAACAAGAGAGTTTATTGACAAGTTTGCAAAAAAATACCTTTCATCAAATATAACTCAAAAATTATGAAATATACACAAAATTTAAAAAAAATAATAAATATTTTTCTGTTTGATATAAATTGAGTAAGATATGGCTGTTCCAAGTTTGCATGTTTGCAAATTGTAACTATTTCAAGCTCTTTCAGCTCAATACTTTTTAAAAATAAGATATTAAAATTAAATTACCATTCATCAGCTTATCCCTTGGTCTGTGTATTTTTCACTGCCGGAAAATAAAAAAAAATCCGGCCGTGGAAAACAAAGTGATTTTCCTCTTATTATTAGAGTTCTGCTGTACATCCTGGCTTTATTTATGTTTTAAATCAATCCTGAATAGTTTCTGTACAAATTTATTTATATATTAGATTTGTATATTAAAAACCATTACTAAATATGATAAATCCAAAATTTGAAAAATTAAAATATGAAAAAAAATGGATGCGTGTAACTTATGTACGCGCGTGAGAAGTTATACTTCTTTAGCATCATTAAAAATATTTTTTAATTGCATGCAAATAATTAATAATTACAATAAAATAATAAAAGGACTGGAAAAGGATAGTTAACACAGTCAATTAAGTTCAGTTTTAATTTGAAAAATTAAATAAATATTCAAAATATTCAATTAAAATCACTACTGAATTTAAGTTATTAGTCCATATGTAATTAGCACTTGTAAGTAACTAAAACACGTTGTGTCTATATAGAAACTAGAAACATGTGGATAAATATTATAAATATGAAAACAGTGATCAGAGGCGACGAGCGTGCCAACATTGTTTTTGACAACGCGATCATCTTATGGAGCTCCGTGGATCGTTCAAAGTACCTTTCGAACATTCATAACGCGCCCGCGGCCAACTTCATGGTGTTACTATTGTGTTACAGTGATGCGCGCGCATCTCGAAATTTCACTCACATGATTTTTTCATAACGCGCCCGCGGCCAACTTCATGCTGTTACTTTTGGGTTACAGTGATGCGCGCGCATCCAAAAATTTCACTCTCATCATTTTTTCATAACGCACCTAAAGAAGTATAACTTCAAAAATCTCATTCAACTCATGGCAGAAATCATTCACTTACACAAACGAGGGGTTATAGCTTTTGAAAAAACCTACTTAATGGTTTTTTGTTGAACTTGCTAGTTCATAACTAAGGGATTTATGGTAAAAATACCCAATCACAATTTTTTACAGTTTTCAAAAACACGTATCTATCTATAATATAATAAATACATATAATATAATGGTAAGAAAGGCAAAACTTTACATTGAATATTTTTTTTAAAAGATACTATCTACAATCGACACCGAAGTCAAAAATATAGATTTTAGACTTTTTGTCTGTTTGTCTGTATGTATGTCCGGGATTAACTCAAAAAGTACTGCATGGATTTACTTCAAAGGACATTGCTCGTTCCCCATACATTGAATGCCCTAGAACGCCCAGCAATGAGAAAATGCTAGTTGTGTTCGGAATCATTCATAAACTCTAATTAGGCATTTGTTGAGATACGGACAACTTGAGGAACCGTGGCCTACTACAGAATGTATTAGATTTTGAGGTTATAATTATTATACTTAATCGTAAAAGATGTACACTTTATATATTCTGAATAGATTTAGTGTTTACCTCTATGTAAGCACTTAAATAATATGCATTAAATTAACATAAAATGCAATTTATAATAAAAATAATAAAGGCTTATATTCATATTGATTAATGAGTGTTGTCAGTTGGCACCTACGATACATATACCTTATCGTAATATATATAATAGTAATAATAGATTTCTTTTCAAATGAAATGTTCAGTCTTTCCATTTACCTGTTTCTATATTTTACTATCGGTAATTAGGTATGTAACTGGTTATCATTATGATTTTAATAAAAATAAACAGATATTACATGGGGTGGGAGTATAAAATATCTTTACATAATTTCAGAAATAATCTTTTTATAAATATAATACTAGTAATAAGTATTATTAACTAAGTTACCTCTATTTTTGTTTTGATAAATACCTATGGTCGCCTCTAATGCATTTATTAAGGTAAACAATCTTGGCACAACTTTTTAACAGAATCACCCATTTAATAATAAAATATTAGCGAAGCCAATAAACTATTAAAATAAATCGTTATTATAGACTGAAACCTTTTGAATCCAGTTATCAGTTGATTTTTAATGCTGTTTTTTCAATAAAAAGGAGTGCCAAGTTGGATGAATAGACTGTAGTATCTAGTAACAGAACTTTATTTTTTTATTTTTTTAAACAGATTGTCCGTTTACTATGATTAATTGCTAATATGTTAAAAAAATAATAGAAAGATAATAGTGAAGGACATTCTTTTGGGCATGCTAGGGCCGGTTTCGTCGATGTCCTTTGGCACGAATATTAAGAAGTCGGGTCAACATATAGGCTACATATTATCACGCTATCACCTAAGGAGAACGAGCAATGAATCTTTATTTCTAACCAACTCCACGCGCACGTAGTCCGCCGAAGCGCACGAAGGCCGCTAGACTCGCTAGTACTAAATAAATAAGATTCCTTCATATTTTCCAACATTATTAGACACACATACACGTGTGTGGAAAGTTTTATGAGTTTCCCCCGAAAAATGGATTGTTTTTTGGATACTTTACGTTTAAAACTTCGATTTTGACTTTTGACGAAGGAAAAGCTACCTCTAACAAGCTGTTATTGCGTCAGTATTAGATCTAGCGATATTTAAAACCAAGTACTTATTTTGTATTTATATTAGATACAATTTTACCACAAATGATTTTTACATTATATAAAAAAATATTTTTTATTAACATAAGTGCATATAATTAAACATAACGATGAAACGGTCCCAGTAAGTAATTACAAAACACTTGTGTTGAGCCTGTTTCGCTGCAAACTTTGGTTTTGTAGACGGAATAACGATTTCTTTGAACAAAACTATGTAATATAGGAATAATATTTACATCCTCGTACAAAACTAACAATGTAATCGGTAATGTGCAAAGAAAATATATTTCTATAACAATTCTAATATAACATTACCCGGTTTTGTGCGAAGATTTTTTTTTCTTGTACATGCTTGTAATGTACGAGTATCAAGCGCCGGTCGAAAGGTATCGACTTGAATTATTTTTAATAAAAACAAATACATATCTCCGAGAAGTGTGGCTGGCATCCACCCTCCGGGAAATAGCAACCCTCGGCACATAGCAAGTTTGTAGTATAATAGAGGGTAATAGAACCCAATTCCAAAGTTTGGTGAAAATCCCCACGTTTTTCCGATTTTCCGCGCATTAACTGGACTATAGGGAAAACAATACATTGATTGGACCATAGCCTCAATTTTTATATCTCTATCTAGATCATACAGTATATGCGTACCAAACATACTAATCCGTTCTGAAGTTTTTACGTGATTGAGTAACAAACATACAAACTTACACATTTATAATATTAGTAACATAATAAGTAGGATATAGCTACCTACATTACTACATTATTAAAAACTTGGTCCACGTTAAAAACTAAGCAACTGCCGCACTCAGAGAAGTCAATTAAATTTTGTGTTTGATAATGTTGAATGGGAATAGAAAAAGACAGCATGTCACTTTGACAATGCTACATGCTACTATTTGTCTGATCATCTGATGTACTTAAGCGTATACAAAAACCTAAGCGGTAGGTATCTATATAAACCATTTATCTTCAAAGTGACCAAGTATTAGTGGTGCGAAATTGACTAGGTACTTACCTAGTTGAATACCAACATTCATTACTACCCTCAATCAAATTAGTATATTCTGTTTTCTAGAAAAGTCATACACCACATCAGCAATATTGGAGGGTAGTTAAAACTTACTGCACGACAAAGCCGACCGGTCGTAGCTATATACTTATAACATTATACAACACCACGTATATATATTGTGTTCGTTTACCGCACTGTTCTTTTCACAGAAAGCGTGCACCAGAGTCGTAGTAGATCTAAATACTGTGATATCTAATAAATTTCGGGATCAATCTTAGAAATGGACTCTATAACATACAACAGTTATACCATGGAAGATACGAAGCCAATATTTACAACCGCCAGTGATACTAAGTCCACTGCTACAACAGTAAGTGATAGATAGCTATTATCATACAAACTAAGTTGTACCTACGTATAAAAAAAAATTATAAATCAGTTTATATGACAAAATAGTTTCAGGCTTTATTGCAAATAGTAATTTAAGTAAAATTGTTTGTTAATAAATATGTTTCAATTGATTTAATTAAAATAATGTGAGGGTATACAGTACATTAAAACCTTTTAGAATACTTGAATACGCCGAAAGTACATACAGTAATTTTCTTCCGAGTTTGATGTCATGTTTTTGACTTAAATACATAGGTAACTTTATTAGCCACCTATTTGAGTCTGCCTTACAATTTGAAGCAGTAGAATTTCGATGTATTTTTAAAAGCTTTTGTTAATTTTTTTCACTTTCACTTTTCGATTTTGTGTGTGTAATAAAATCTTGCCAGTTGTCCGCTTAGATAAAAAATATTTTTATCTAAGTTTGTCCGTAATAAATCGCCACAATCCCATCGAGTTTGGACTCGTTTGAAGAGTACTTTGGTCCAAACCAAACCAAACCCTGGTAAGCATTCATTACCAGGGTTTGGATAAGCTTGATGTTGGCCATATTCTTCGTAACAACCGCATCGATTTTGGGCTCGTTTACTTCGTCTTTATAAATGCTGGGGTCGAAGCTCCAGGATAATATCCATATGCAGCCCCATCAGATTTGGGAAAATAAGTTTGTTTAGAAAATAAGTTTTTTGAAGTTAAATTATATTTGATTATAAATAGTTGTTTTAGAACAATTTATTATCAAAGTTATATATCTTTTGATGAATTTCTTTGACATGTTTTGTTCAAAAGATTAAAAAAGTACACAGGATATCAATACTAGGTAATAAAAGGATTTTCTTCGAATTTTCAACGCTACTGAAATGAGAATTATTCTTTTTCTAATTTACTAAATTTATGTTGAATATTTTTAGTTCTTCAAAATTTTTGTATCTTTTGACAAAATTTTAATATCTTAATTTTATAAAAGAAACGTTATTTATATGGTACCTAGAGCTTAATTAAGTTATTATGTTTACATTTTTTAGGAAAGCTTTGCTCCTGCGGACAACAGAGGCTTACCGACGGGATCAGAAAGTATGTTCTCCCCACTGGCACCGAGTTTCCAGACTCGCGGTGGCAATGAGCTGCTGAACCTGCTTGCTCAGCAAGAGCCGAGACAAGCTGACACCGGTAAGTAATTTCAAGATAAACTAATAAATAAATGAGTTTAGCAACCATAAAAAATTCATACCTATTAGTTAACCATAATATATATAAATTACGCGTCACCTTGTTTGTCACCCGATATTAATCAAATTGGCTCACCGTGTGCAGTTTGATCCAACTCGAAAGATAGGATAGCTTACATCTCAATTGACAGTCGCAATATTATTTTATTGCAAATTATTACTTTTGGGCGATACGAAGTTTGTCGGGTCAACTAGTAGTGAATAAAAGATTAAGATCAATGTCTTGAAGCAGATAGAAGAACTCCAGAGGGCAAAGAAAATTAATGCTTAAAAAATAAGTAATTAATTAATTTGTTGCTTTTTATTTTTTGATATATGTTCACCGATTAAACAGAGACGCCTGGATCGATTTTCAAATTTTTATTTTTGTTTATTGTGATCTCACAGTCATCAATCAGGTTAGGATCTGATGATGAGATCATGGAGAAATCGAAGGAAATCTTAAAAAAAATAACGTTTTTAAAGAAAGTTCTATTTACTCTCTAAAACTGCCACCCCCAACCCCACTTAACTAAAGTGGGGCTGGGGAAGGTCTAATCAATATGAAGTGGGTATGCCCAGAATTGCGATACGATTACTCTCATCGTCGGAGTCGGAGTCGTTCTCGGGAAGTCTTCTACGTATCTAATACCAACAAACTCTAATTCACAATAATCTTTCATATCAAATAAAATAATGTTTACCTACCTGTTTGGATCTAGTGTAATCTCCATTTTAGTGGGAAGTCTATTTAAGCGCGTTGTAGCGGATTTAGAAAAATCAGACCACACTGATTAAAAGCGGGTCCCCATTTTCAGTAAGGCAGGCTAAAACTCTGAAAAGCAAGTATATCAGACAACAATGATTCGACTGCTTCCGGCGTAGGTAGCTATTTGGTCGGCCCAACTAATTTGGTGCGTCTGGTAGATCGTCGGGTGGGCCTTACAGCCTTAGGGTACGGTCAGAGTGCACTCCTGATTCAGATTCAGATTCAGATTCCGAAACCAAGCGCGAGAAATAAACAGTGTAGTCGAAGGGTACGGCCAGAGTGCACTCCTGATTCAGATTCAGACTCGGAAAACAAGCGCGAGAAAAAGTAGGCAACCTGTAGTCTACTACACTGTTTATTTCTCGCTCTTGTTTTCGGAATCTGAATCTGAATCTGAGTGCACTCTGGCCGTACCCTTACTCATGTATCTAAGTGAATAGAACGCATTAGTGAAGAAAACATGACGAAGCAACAAAGATATACAGCTTCAGCCATCCTCACGCAGCCGGCCAGAACCCAATACCTTTCCAAGCCCCGAAATCTTAACTTCACAGCAACACTAACAAAACAGCACCAAAAAGTACTGTTATTTAAATCTGATAGTACTTGTTCTGAAAGATGCGGATAAAGCACTTCTCCATAGACATTCCAATTCTGCCCTACTCGACGTAAAATAATCGTTTTAGAATTTATATCAATGTACTTCACCACTACCACTAATTTGTCTTCTTGGCCTGCTTCGATTCCTAGCCCCAACTACGGCCGACATGGATGATGTTTTGATGAACTTCCGCATGAATGGATCGGACCTCCTTTTTGATGACATTGACCACACCCCTCAAAACTATTTCATGGGTAAGTTAAAATTTTATGATGGTTGTCCAACTTTTAGGATTCCACCAAAAACTTTTTAGGGCTGCGGTATAATAATACACCTCGTATTATTTGATCGTAGCCCTGAAAAGTAGGTACTCCAGGATCAGAAAGCTGTTATATAAATATATAAATCAAAGTTCAGTATAGTTGATTAGTGCGGTTCTAGTATGTATTTGTAAATGACTATTTGTATATTTCTGCAGGTAATGCCAGACCAGAGTCTGTTGCACCATCTAATCCATCATCTAACGTTTGGAATGACAACAACTCCATGGCATCGGGACGAAATGGAGAAATGCTTGATACGTTTGATTTTCTCATCAAAAGTAAGTCATTGTATCTATACATATAATAAAATGGTAGGAAAGTCAAAACTGTACATTAAATATTTTTTAAAGAATACTTAGGGTGTGATCTAAAATCGATACCGAAGCCAAAAATATAGTTTTTAAAATTTTTGTCTGTCTGTTTGTCTGTATGTATGTCCGGGATAAATTCAAAAAGTACTGCATGGATTTACTTAAAATTTGGCACGAATATTATTAAAAAGTCGGGTCAACATATAGGCTACATATTATCACGCTATCACCTACGGCGAACGAGCAGTGAACCTTTATTTCTTCAAAACATTCTGTAACAACGAATAAATAACTCCACGCGTACGAAGTCGCGGGCGGCCGCTAGTCAACAATATTTTCATAGTAACTAATTACTTTTCAAAGTATAACTTACCTAATTAATTAAGTATTACCTAATTGGTAGTAATGTCTGCTCTGTACACAAATTAATGCCTGAAATGGGATCCGGACCTGAAGCCCTATGAAGTAGACTTGAGGTAGGAGGGCTGCCGTGTGGCAACAATTGCAGGGCTACTAATTGTCTAACTCTTAACTTTTTCCGATGGCCTCTAATGCTGGCGTCACTCTAACGGGAAATGCAGTCAGTAATCACTATAATGGACGTTTCACGTAGGTGTAGCCACGACTTAACGCGATAATTTAACAACGGCATTCATATTGCTGTTTGACTTAGCCAATCGAGGTACAACAAAGCGATTAACATGAGAATTAACACGTTGAAGCGGCCACACGCCACACAACATATGTCGTCCGTGTGCACAGGATCCCATGTGATTGATTTCGTTAAATACGTACTATCTCTATGGAGTGGAGTAAAGAGAAAGTAATTGCGTTTCTCGAGATTCTACAAAAGAGCCATGTTTGTGAGATCAACGCCCGTCCTGCTTGAAATTGAAGGAATATAAGCGAAAACTTACCGTCATTTAGATTGATCGTTGTAGTATAGCCACTCACTTTAACGCGATAAAATATTATGTGTTAAAATAAATGCAATACTTATCGCGATGATAGGCATTGACTTCTCGTTAGTCTGGAGACAACTTAAAGGTGAAGGTAAGTGTCAAAAAAATCGACGTCTTAGTCCGTCGAAACTTTAAAGTATAATTGAATGAATTTATGCGTTATGCGTTTAGCACTTATTATATACAATGCGGGTCAAAAGCACAAGGCTGCGGCTACAGTTAAACATGTATATGCATCGCTCCCATCATAGCCCAACGCTATTCTCTAAAATGTTTTCTGGAAATATTATATAACGTATAATGTTGCCACTGTACCGCTTTCTGAAGTTTCCTTAAGACACAAGTTCATTGATAATCTTTTATTAGATACTGCGGAATCAGTTGATGCGCCCATTCTTAATTTTTTACACTTGCAGTCATGTACAAGCAGAAAATGTATACAAAATTTTCCAAAAAGTATTTTCTTTGGCGTTATATAGGAAGTTATAGCAATGAAAAATCCTTCGTCCAGGGGGCCATTCGCCTAACGGAAGTGCTTTGGAAAACGCTAACGCTTTCGATCTTATTTTGTTATTTCTGACCGCCGAAGGTTTTCAAATACCTCGCATTCATTTTTTTAATATTATTATTACCAATGCAAAAGAAGAATAAAGAGCGCGAGTCGTTTGAAAACCTCAGGCGGCTAGAAATAACAAAATGAAATCGAAAGCGTTAGCTTTTTCCAAAGCATTTCCGTTAGGCGAATGGCCCCCAGGGGTTTCGCTGGTTTGATTTCGTAATGGTACGATTACATTTGGTCGTTAGCCTGTAGCAATATTTACTCAGGAATACAGGTCGTTTGCCCGAAATCCATAGGCACACGTAACTTTCCACGTGTGCCTATGGATTTCGGGCAAACGACCTGTATTCCTGAGTAAATATTGCTACAGGCTAACGACCAAATATAATTGTCGCATAGCGGTGACGATGTGACTGCATTGACAGGTTTGTCGTCCGCAAATAATTACGTGTCGATGCTGACGCGCGAGCAGTTATCAGTGCTGCGTTCTATCCGGCCCAGTCTACTGTACGAGTTCCTACAGGAGGTGGCGAAGGTGCGCAGCGACAAGCGCATGCGCCGCGCTCTTCCTAATGTAAGTTCACTTCCATTTATCCTTATATGGGCCTGCGCTGTTTTGAGCGGGAGAATGGAGCGGACGGTGACTCTGCATGCAATTCATATCATTTCATAGAGCCTCACGCAGCGCTGCTTGTTTTATTTCTTGATGTTATTACCTTTGAAATACTTAACTTATTAATAAATTATACTAACAGAAACAAGGCTTTACTCAATCGGCCACCAAATCAATTTCCTAATAATTGTTGCTTCTTTTTTAATTATACATCTAACTAATATCTAATACAACATCTTCCTCTTTTTTTATAATCAAACAAATACATATAATCTATAAGAATAATGAATTAATGATCTGAATCTTCTTTTATTTTCTTCATTCCTCTGCCACTTTTTTTTATTATTTTATAATCATTCATAATATAATATGAAATCATTAAATCTACTAGGTACATTTATTGGTCTTCCCAATCTTCTACAATTATTTTCTTGAGTATTACTATTATCATTATTGTATGCATCTAAATCTATGATTTTGTATATTAACTTTATCATTACTACTAATTACCTCATCACGACTCGTACGTTTACATAGCTAAGAAGAATTTCTTATTAAATTATCAGTACACTAATCTTTTATTATGTATGACCTTGGTGCAGGGCTGTAGCTAGAGTCGAATTTGAGGTAGGGCAGCATTGGTTAAAAATGTGAAATCATCAGGGTCATAAGGTGACCCACAAATATTTTTACCACACATTGGCGAGTTACTTCGTTTTGTAGTAACGGAACTAATTTAAAATAAGATCTCGCCTCAAGTGAGATTATATTTACCGAGACGGGTTTCATGCGCTGACCCTTATCTATAGAATTGTTGATCGAACGTAAAGACCTATTATATTTAAGTATTGAAATCGACTACAATACCTATCAAACAAAAAGTAAGCCGGTTTCTGAAACAGAGATGACTGATTCGAAGCTCGCGAGTATATGTTTAATGTGACATGTAAATACCTATTTCTATGACACTGATTATTTTATGTTGCTCGAAATCAATGTTCTTTTTTATATCTGGAAAACTTACAGCTTTTATTTATACATGTGTATCTGGTTTGGTTAACTACTAGGTTTTACATATAAAAAACGGACATGTGCTGTTCACATGCGATAGAAGTGAAACATGTGAACACGTAAAAATCTTTTATGACTAGATACGTCTTAAAGACAAAACCTATGTTAAAATTCAACTCTCTAGGTCAAAATTAAATATTGTGTACTTAAATTGTTTCGAAAGATATATAGTTTAAAAAAATTAAATGTGCGTTATTTTTAAAGACAGTTTAATTTAATTTATATTTTTCGCAAACAAAATTAAGCTTTATTACTTAGACACCAACTTTAATAAATGTACTTGCGATCGCACGATTTATCTAAATAATTTTAAGCAAACTATTTTAATGGTTAGATAATTTAAAGCACGCATGTTTATATACTAGTGTTGCAGCAAAAGCACTGCCGTAATCGTATAAGAAAATGCTTAATTTTTCGATAGCTGACGGCACTAAAACTAATTATAAAACAAATTATTTACATATTTTACAAAGATTAGATAGAAGCTATGTAGCGATTAACAAGCAAGAAATAAACTGTAGGTAATAAAAATATCAAATAAATATTGTACAACATCATATACATAATATTACTATTAAAATTAGATAATTGAAGCTTTTGTATTAAGGGAATCTGAAAAACAACAATAAAAAAATCAGCTACACCCGAGAAAATAAAAAAGGTAATTTTATAAATTGACCTGACCGGGAATCGAACCCCCTACAAAAACACTGCTTTGCAATCGCAAAAGCGATAGATTAAAAGGTAATCATATAGAAAAATGTTGCATATGCGCAATAGATGGGGCACTAAAAAAATAAAATATAACTAAGTATTTACGAAATTAATGAAGATTAGGTAGAAGCTATCTAACGATTATAACCAAAAAATAAACTATTAACAACAGTATAAAAAATAAACTATATCAAAATTAATAAATATTGTAAAACATCACATATATAGTTAATATTCAGAATTAGTTGGCTAAAGCTTTTCTATCAAGGAAATCGGAAAAGATGACGATACAATAATCAGCTAGACCTGCGGAAATAAATAAAAGTAAATTTTCTAAGTGTACCCGACCGGGGATCTAACACGGGACTAAGGGACCCCACGAGATTGCGACGCTCTAAATAATAAAACGCAACGAAATCTAGCGTGTTGCGAGATTTAACGTACCAACGGACTGCCAAAAGCTTCCAAGTAAATAGCACGTATACAAAACACCACGGTTATTGTCAAGCTTTGTACCCTCCCTGACGTCCCATGACACTTGAGTGTCATAAAGGTATTTCCAGTCAAACGTCCGAGGACACTTGAGTGGCTTTGGTGGATGGTCCTGTTTTTGCTAATTAGCACGCTTTAGAAAGCATCCTTATCGCTGCTTGTGGTCTCGCTCTGTGGTAGATGGCGTTGTGAATAAAAATGCAGTGGTCTCTGAACTTCAGTTTTTTTGCATCAATTTGAAGTACGCGCTCCGCGAAAAATGGTGACGTCGTGGACGTTTCCACCGAAATGACCCCAATTTTGTAGAAATCATTTTTTTCTTCTTATTTAATCTTAAAGTGATATATCCACATGTACATCAAGATTTACCCGTGTCATTGATGTGAAAAGATCATAATTTTATTTGCGCTACATAAAATTGTTTCTAAGAATAAATAATAGCTTAATCAAAGAAAATAAAAATAAAAAAATAACCGAGAGCTCGGGATCGAACCACCGATCATTTGGTGTCTACCCCAAGACCGTTACCGTTTGGCTATCTGTTTCTTGCAGTAAATGATAAAATTACGGATACCTATCTTGTGTTAAATACTCTACTTCCGTTTCATCGAATCTCAAGTCCTAACGATACTAAAGTAGTTTTCACTGCAGCAATTAAAAAAATTGATGGTGTACACTGCACAGGAATGTGCGTTCTGCAAAAACAACGGCGAGAACGAGGAGTGCTACTCTTCGCACGCGCTGAAGGATTGGCGCGGACGCGTGCTTTGCCCCGTGCTGCGCGCCTTCCGCTGCCCGCGCTGCGGCGCCACCGGCGACCGCGCACACACCATCAAGTACTGCCCCGAGAACGTCGACGCAGGCAAGTCACTTTTGTTATTATTGTAATGGTGCGTATCCACATTATTATTGGTATTGGACATATTTTTTAGCTGCGGAGAAAAACGAGCGAAATAAAAATCTCCACAGCATTAAAAGTATAATGTAACAACATTTACAAATGATTATTTTGTTACAACATCAATACAATCATGATTTATCTAAAGGATATTTTTAAATGCACAGCAAATAACAATCTGTAAATATATTAACCATCAAGTTATTTACAGCAATTGAATACTTTTTACATCAATATAATTATTTTACTGCAAGCAAAACATTTGTTGAACAAAACTCGTGCTGAAAATAATTCAAAAATATTCGTCAAATGTGTAAAAAGTTTTCCATAGAAACTGTCCAATGATGAGTGGTGTATAGATAGATACGTTGTGTAGCTACCTGAAGCTGAGCCGATCGCAGCTGTGCGGAGTGAAACAGAGTAAAGACAAGTTGATCGGCTCTCTTAATCTGTAGTCCTTAGCACTCATCAAATCCGCACTGGGCCCGCGTGGTGGGTCTTGCCCCAATCTCCCTATTTTATTCAACGAGAAGGCGTGTGCACCACCACTATGGCTCTTTCTGTGTTCTGTGGTGGAGACATTAATCTGCTTATTTAGAGCGATCCAAACTTTTTAACGGTGCACAACTATGCGCAGGCTTTAGTTCAGTGGAATGCCGCGCGTCTTTCGTGTAGGTACTGCGCCGCAATCTGTGCTTGCACTCCAGTTAGTTTGAATCGAACTCTGAAGATACATTATCTTCATTGTCAGGTTCAGAGCGGTCCGGCTCGCTGGCGGCGTGGCGGCGCGCGGCAGGCCTTCCCAGCTCGTGACAGGCTGACAGTCATGATAATGCTTGTGTTGTGTGCTCAGGGTCTGAGAGGTCCAGCTCGCTAGCAGCGAGGCGGCGGGCGGCGGGCCCGGCATCGCTGGTATTGGGCGCGCGCCCCGGGGCCCCGGCCGCCCCCTCCCCCTCGCCTGCCTCTACGCCGCTCGCGCACTCCGCACTCTGGTCCACCTTTGGCATCAACTAACCCAGACCTACTGACCACCATCGCCATACATACACACGTATAAATATAGAATGGAATGAGCGTCCCCTATACAACTGGACAATAAATCAAGTGTGAAATCGATGCACAGCCCATAGTTAGTAAAGGTATCGACGTTTTTTCCGTAATTAGAAAGTTGTCAATTTTATGAGTGTCGCTCAGTCTATTCTCTTATGTGTATGCAAACACGATAACACGGGCCCTACTCTTAATCGGGCCAATTTTTCAATCTCCGGATAAAACTTATTCGTCTGATAATGTATATTGCTAGGGTCTCATATGACTTTTCGTATTTGCTATTAGTAAATTTGACAGCAGTAAGTATATCTATCCTTGTCATGTTCTACCTATAAGAAGTGAAATGGAAAGACTGCTACCATAATTTAAATAGCCATGTGAAGTGCCAACATTATGTGGAGTAAACGGAAGATGTTATTTTTTTATCCGAGAATAGATATTGGCATTCAAAGTTAACTATCGATATAATCGTGATCATGACAGTCGTCTATCCTGCTCTAACTTACATACACTCGACTGCAAATAAACTGGGCCACTTGCTACCACGGAACTCTGATTTGATTTTCTCAAAAAGCATAAAACTTACAACTATCAAAATTATAACTACAGAAAGTGCGTTTCGTGGTAATTAAAATGAGCTTATTGAGATTAATCAATTAATTAAATTTATATTTAAAAAAAAGCCAAGGAAGAATCGTTTTCCAATTGTGGTAAGTTACGAACCAAGCAAAATACTCACGTCTGAGAAAACTATGGAGAAAAACTAAGGAAATGATAACAAGTATCTTCATTTTCTAAAAAGAACGATAATCGCGACTTTATTAAAAAAATAGCAAATTGTTAGCATTGCTGTTCTTGCTTGATTACAAAGTAAGTTGACAGTACTTTAGAATAAATTTTTACTCGTTAATAATAATGAAACACACTTTCTGTCGATATAGCTTTAATAATTGTAAGTTTTATACTTTTTGAAAAAATCGAATTAGAGTTCCAAAGTAAGTACTAGTGGTTGGCCCAGTTTATTTGCAGTCGAGTGTAGTTTATACCGGCACATCACTTTGCTATATTCGTACTGGCTATTTGTATACTTGACAATGGTTTGCTCTTATCATGTTTTTTTAAAGAACGAAAAGGACAGACTTTTGTGAAGTTTACCAATAGCAACCACGAATAGCCTAGTGCCGGCATTAAATACCGTAAAGTAGGGCATGACACTATGAAGTTCATAATACATTGAATGTTGATACTGAGAGTACGCTCTCGGATTACGCTGTCCACGGTCCAATCCAACTTTATGCCGGTGAAGCATCATAGTTTGCATCGTACTTTAACCTATTTCAGACTACACGTTTATTATACGAAATTATTTTTAAGTGTCAACTACAGTCGACATCATAGGACACTCTAGTATTCATAATTATACACAGAAGTAAAATTAAACGGACACGCGATCGTACTTTTGTATGATCTTTAGTTATCTATGAGTTAAGTTTTTTATATTAATATTCATGTCCCGACAATGTCGTTAGATATATTTTGTTAAATAAAACATTCAATAAAGCACATAATGATCCTGGGGATCGATGCTATAGATGTTACTATTAGTGTGTAGGTACTGTCTACTGTGTAACGTAATCTGAAATCTAACTAAGATTTTCTATTTACTATAAGAATATCTTTAAGTTTTTTCTTTTAACTGGCTTTGTTTATTTTTCTTAAATAGTTACTAAATATCTTCATTCTCATCTTGAATACCACTGAAGAGAATCTACGTAAGAACTACTCGTTACTTCTGTTCTATTTTAAAGTAATATCAACATAATATCATAAAACTTATGGAGCTTCGGGGATCGTCCAATGTGCCTTTGGACAGATTTCGGGCACTATTTTTTTCGTGTTGGTGTGTATCTAGGGTATTTAATATCGCTGAGTAATATGTACAATATGTATCCTTTATGTACAATACAGTAGTATTTTCGAACATATTTTAATGATACTGTTATTATTGGTTTTGGGCTAAGTTACTTGCAGATTTAGGTGCATCGTAGCGTTCCCATTGCTACATTGTTCGCATATATGTAGTGAAAAGGTGAACGAACCATAGCGCCTTAAGTCAGCTAATATATTCATACACAGATATGCAGGTCATATAATGTTTGAATCGTCCAAGCTCGACAGAATCTGAAACTAACCAGCACCTTTAACTCTATTGTTATTCTCATAAATTTTTCATTGGGTTTTTATTCAGTCCATATAGGGGAAGTTTTATTTAATCAGTCATCATTTGTGTTTAAATACAATTCAATCATTGTAATTCTAAATTAATGGATTTATTGTTATTTCTTATTAATTATGTAGTTGAATTATTAATTACTGAATGAAACCAAATTATTCCAACATCATAATCCCTCATTTTTAACTTTGGCAGATCAATTTATAATTCAATTCTAACATGAGCAGTTTTACCAATGAAAAATGTATCTTCCTTTCAGGTCAATTTATTATTTATCTTCTTTGTACTTTAAATAAATTCTTAAGCATTCAGTTGTTGTTTTAATCATAAAATGAAAGACATTAATTTTAATTCATAATTTTATTGGAATATATCTAGGTTTTAATTAATATTGACATTACAACAACAGTTAACAGAGTATTGATATAGTTTTGTTTATTAAACTTCCAATTCATTTTGATTATAATTTTGATTACCAATTTCTATGTAATTTACTTTTTATATATTTACCTTTATACTTGTATAAGCTATGCATGTGCCTTTAGGCAATGGCACTTGATAGGTACAGGGCTGATTTCTGTTCTACTATTAAATACAATCAAGTTATATAAAAAGTTCTTATATTAACAAAAAACCTAGGGTACCTACATAATATCAGAGCTAAATTAATAAGAAATCGGGTACCTAATAAGACTAAAATATGGATTAAAGACATTCTAACATTGGTACAATATCAATATAAAAATATCAAAAAACAATTTGTATACTTTCACTTTCAGTGATATAATATTGTAAATTTATTTTGCCAAAGCGACATAGTTTATATATAAATAAGAATTTCATTTGAAAAGTTGGCTAAGTCAAAAAAAATTGGCAAGTAGGAATAGATTCAGTACCTTAAAGCTTAAAGTTAATGCAATGCAACTAAGAGTAGATATCATATAATACTTAAATTCATTACACTTACTCAGTAATTTCGAGATTCTTTGAATAGACCAATTTGTTAGGTGTACATAAAAATAGTTTTTAAATTAGCATTAAAAGTTTAAATCTATAAAATGCATTAACAGCAGGAATGGTCACATACGTGTTCATTTATTTGTAAATGTTGTTTGCCATTGGAATGTTCGTTAATTATTTTAATTACCTATCTCTTTAATAAGTTTTAAAACCAATTTACTATTTCGAGTATCACTTTAATATAATATTGAACAACAATTCTAAAACAGCTTTTCGTTGTAGGAGTATTACATTTCCTCGACACGAAAATTTGAGTTTTAAAATAAAATTACACAGTATGTATTTGATTAGCACTTGTATCAACGACAAACGTCAAAAAACAACGTTTAAATTTAATGCCTTTCTTCCACTGAGAACAAAAGATGGATAAGCAGAACGGAGTAAGGCTGCTTTTCCACCAGAGATGTGCTATGCTACGTTGCTGTGGATGCGTTTGATATTCACCAATCAAATTCATTGGTCCACATAGCATAGCACTGGTGGAAACGGGTTCAACTAAGCTATGTTTTATATGGAAGGATGCGTGCTATGGATGCGGGCTATGATGCCTCGCCGCGCCGCCTCTGCTCCTTCCCGCTTTCCTACTATCGATACATCGCATAGCTCGATCTACGCATCTTCCTCGCGCAGCTACTTTGCGGCGGCGCATCTTCATAGCACATCTTGTTCGCCCCGTTACATAGCTTAGCATCAATGGAAACGGTCACGTAGTTTCGTAGCTTAGCTGACACATCCTCGCAGCATAGCTGCAAAGCACATCTCTGGTGGAAAAGCAGCCTTAAGGTCGTCTCATTTGAGCCACCCGGCACCCGACCAGCATAGTCTCGCTTGATGCGGTTAGTATTCTTTGAATAAGTGTATGGAGTTCAACTACGTCCACAACGGATAGCCTCGCTTGCAAGCTGAATATGCGGAGATAACTAGAGGACCATGCGTGGACGAGCGAGTATACATATCGATTACGAATTAATTTATAACCCGCTGTTCACCATGCTTATTTAGCGTTGAACACGTACTCTAACGCACGGGTACCGAATGACGAGAGCTTTGACCCATGGACATGTCCTTTAATTAGTTTTTGTGTTCAACCTCACTTTTATTTCTTTTATCTCGTTTATAGTCAATTCATACGAGCGCAGAGTCGAAGCGCATGCAAGCGTATTTCAGAAACGGTGAACAAGCAAATTCACCCTTTATCTCCGCAACGTAATGCACATATTCCTTCGGACCTGATAATCAGGGAAATTCGCTTGCAGGCGCGTGAATTCTATCGCAAAAGGAATATGTACATTACATTGCAGAAATAATGGTGAAATTGCTTTGTTACGTTTCTGTAATTCGGTTGGATGCGCTTCGACTCTGCGCTAGTATGAATTAACCATATAGGCTATTCAGCACAATTTTTGCAGTCGAAGCACTATTTGAATGAATTCCGTGACGTACCCGCTTCGCTCTCAGAAGAAGGCGGGCATAATACCTTCAGTATTAGGCTTTTAGCATAAATACAAAACACTTTAACAGTTTAAACGATCAACACGCATCGAATATACAAATATTTAATTAACACTATGCTAACAATAACTACATTGTATAAAATTCATAATATAATATTCCCATAATACCAATACTCAAATCTTTGGTTTGCTTAATATTAAAAGACAACGTTGATATGGTATTACAACATAATACCATATGTGAGGGGAAGTTCACAAAAAGGCCCTTTAAACCACTTGCAAGATTTGTTTTGTAAATATTTAAAGTAAGTAATGTATGCCCTGAGATAGTTGATTTGTCAGTCAAACTAAAGAAAATTCCTTTAGGCTCTATTAATATTCTATTTTTTTTATAATGTTATCGGTACGAATTTAGGAGTATACTTTGGAGTCGATCTTTGTTCAAATTTAAGAGGAAGAGCAAATGGCAAATTTTACTCGAAATTACGATTTGAGAGAAGAAATCTCACAAAAAATGTTCTTAAAAATCAAAAATTATATACAATAAATAAATTATTATCGTTATTCATATGACAGCCAAATTGAATTTGTCAACATAAATATTAGAGGAACTTTTACATGCTGTAAAAGTACTGTTAAAATAGAAGTCACACTTTGAAATTAGTGTCATTGTTAATCAAAATTGGTTGTAATCCCAATAAGATATTCAATAACATATACGTTACATACTACGCGTTCGCTTCGGGTTGGCTACGTCTCAACGCACCGCGCTCCTAGACAGACTGACCTTATTAATCAACCCTATTGGTCGACGGTACCAGAGGGCCATTCGCCTAATGGTATTGCTATGGCTATCGCTATCACTTACGATTTTGAAAAAACCTTCGGCGGACAGAAATAATAAAATGAAATCGTAAGCGATAGCGATAGCCATAGCAACACCATTACGCGAATGGCCCTCTGGTACCGTCGACCAATAGGGTTGATTAATAAGATCTAGACAGACCTTATTAATCAACCCTATTGGTCGTTAACAGACGTCTAGGAGCGCGGTGCGGTGAGACGGATCCAGCCCTTTACGTTTCTGAAATTCGGTATACCCATAGCAATTCCGTTAGGCGATTGACCCCCAGTTGATGTGCCTGTGACCAATCACATCATTGGCCCAAGCCAATAAGGTCATTCACGGCCAACTCGAAGCGAACGGGTAGTACAATAATATTGAAATAATCTTGAGATTGAAAGTATCTCAAGATATGAGAATAAACTTAACCGAAATTCGTACTACTTTCAAACAAGTTCCACTGTAGTTTTTGTAGTACTCATCATTACAGATATTCTTTTTTTATGGTAAGTAACCCTGAAATTTAGAAAATGCCGTGTTTCATACAATAAACAATAATTCGTTCATAGTTTTGTATGTAAAAATATAAAATCGCTCTGTTTCAAGGTTGACTATAAAAGTTTATTTTGTAATAACGACATACCGCGTCTCATACGGCTGTTAATTACATTATATGATTATTTTGTATGAACTATATTATTTTGATACTTGTCAATTCGCTGTCAATTAATATGAAGTTGGTATAGTCTACACCTGTGTGATGTTTGCGAGTTTTGTTAATTCCATGGTGACTATGTAAACTATGTTTTTTTCATGGATCCTTATAATGTTATTTTACGCAAACGCAATCGAGTAGGTGAAAAACTCACATTTGCCAGGTCGAGTAAAGTTTACCATTCATCACATGATTGCATCACCACAGCCATCGTCGCTTTGGGCCAGTCTCCCTTTGTCATTCGGCGGTTTGTTCACCTACGAAAAAAGGTCAGATCAAATATAGAGGCGGTTTGTTCACCTACGGAAAAAGGTCAGATCAAATATAGAAAGTGCCAAGTTATGAAACTAAAAAGTTGTTAACAATTTATTTTTATTTTTTGTACGACTTCAGAAAACCAAAACCACTAAAATGTAAGAAATAATGCATAACATGGCATCATCTCGCTAACAAATCTTCTAAACAAAAAAAAAGGATGATCGAAATCGGTTGGCGTGGTATTGAGTTATTCGTCTATTTGTCGCGCACATACACAATGCAAATTAAACACTTATATGTTTTTTTGATGCATGCCATTGTCAGAACTGTACCACACGGGAAGTACCTGGAGGCTATTTCAACGAAAAACGAAATTTCGATCGTAATTTCGCACGTTCCTTACTCTGTTTCTATTTCATTTCGAAATTCGTTCGTCCGAAAATAGTTTGACATTTAATTTCTCTAAGCCTACTCTAATTCACAAAACTTTTGAACTAAAAGTTGAATTTGACAGATAATTGTTCGAAATTTTAACCTCTATTTGACGAAATGAAAAGTGTTACCTTTTCATTTTCGTTTTGGGTATTTTTGTTTAAATTAAACCTAAAATTACTAGTGAGTATTTTTAATTAAGGCTGCTTAGCGTGAGGAACATCTTTTAGTATGAAAAATTTACAAATAAATCTAATTTTTGTTTATTATTGTATTGCCAATACTTCAAAGTATTACACGACAAATTTAGGTTGACATACATTCGATTGCATAAACTCTACAAATTAGTCGGCTTACACTTACAAAAGAGGTTGTTTTAATGTAATTAAAAATGCTGTCATAATGTAATATTGTTTTGAAGTAAAAAACGTTATCTAAAAAGTGTTGACAAAAAGAACTCACAAACATAACTCATTCGATTCGTTCACGATAATTGTCTGTGATTCCGAACTTTATGTGCGTGTTCGAAGATGAAATAGAGTAGAGTCACTGGCGAAATTTCGTTTAAAATTCGTTCGTTGCCGAAATTTCGTTTCGGAGAAAGAGAGTAGAGCTCCTGCTTTCAAATAAAAAAAGAATCACCATATCGGTACACCCAGTCAAAAGTTTTGAGGTAACAAACGTAAAGAAAATTAAAAAGTCAGGCGAATTGAGAACCTCGTCCTTTAGTTTGAAGTCGGTTGAAAAAAAGACTCGTCATTATATACATCAACTAAGTCTTAAGCCTAGGCTTTGATATTTAAAGATTGGGACAAAATAAATATATTAATTAATGTCTTTTTTTCTCCATTAATCCAATTAAAGTTGAATTTATTTTTAATGGTTTTGAATTTACCGACAAAACGCTCGGTTCGACGACATCTACTGTGTGACGTCAACTTTGTGTAAAGAAATTTAACACCTATGTAGTCTGTGGACGATCTGTGGTGACGAAGTAATTATTTGACGATTTCTTTGTTAGAGTATTTCGATTTTACTGATTGTTCACAGTGCACTGTCGGCTTTTCTACCATAGGAATCGTCAAATATTTTTTGACGTGACAACGTCTTAAATTAGGTTGCGGCTGGGAGTCACTTATGAAAAAGTGTAACGCTCGGTAACGTTACGATGAGTCTCTCGTGTTAAGTTTAAGTTTACATGTACAATGTTTTAGTAAACAAAATATATTTCTATAGTTAAAATTTGTGCAATTCTTATTTTCATTCAATTCCTTGTTCCTATTGTGCAATTTAATTATATTCATATCAATAAATATTCTACCGAGAAAAAGACGTTGTCACGTAAAATCTTCGCCCGTAAAACCGACTTTACAGGCAACCATTTTTTTTTGTAATCACAGATCGTCCACAGAATTTGAAGGAAATAAAAGCTATCTGATTTAACAGGAACACAGCTTATACTTTAGTTAGCATATGTTTGGAAAAATCTTCTGTAGTATGATAGTCCAGCACTGTGACTCTCATATTTTATTATACAAGGCGTTACAAATTCGATTTAAGAGGCAAGTCTTTATTTCATTGGCAGAACTCAATCTTGGCAAATACACATCTTCCGCCTACTCTACTTCCGTTTCATCGAATCTCAAGTCACAATAATAATATAGAAGTTTTTACTTCAAAAAGAATTATCAAATTTGGTTCAGTCGTTATATACAGGGTGTAAAAAATCCTACGACAAAGACACAAGCTACGCATTCGGTACACCCAAACAAGAAATATTACAAAATACTATACGTGGCAAAATTTGTATTTTAAGTTAATTTTTTCGTTTTTCCAGTACGCAATGTATAGCGCGGCGCGCTACTACTATGGCGCTACGCAAAGAATCTGCCTGTGTGTATGTGTATGCGTGTGTGTAAGTGCGTTGATAAAAAATTATGTAAATAACGTTTTCAAAATATTAATGTCAAAATTATGAAAAAAAATAACCATAAATTTCCCAGGTATGGTCCAGAAGAAAAAAAATATCGTCATGATTTGGAAAATACGGGGCTTTCGACTTCGTTAAAGATTTTTTTTACACCCTGTATAGATGATTATTATGATTATTTATGACAGGAGTGAACTACGTCGTTATTTTACCTTCGTTGTTGTTATGCCTGCGCACGAGTCGCTCGGGGTGAGAATGGGCAAGTTGCGTGTAGTCGCGGAAGACCTCGTTGTAAGTGTCGTCGTTTGATGACATCTCGCTTTCACGCATCTCCTCATTCAATTTGGTCAGTCTTAGTCTATAAACATCGACAAAAAATCGTCAAAAGTGCACCCATGCCCCCTAAATAAAGTTAGCGTCTCTTAGTAAAAGTCTCAAACAGTTGGAGACAATTCGAAGATAAATACGAACTATAAAGTGGCATCGATAGATTTTAAAACCTTAAATATAAAGATTTTTTTTATAAAATTTGAGATATGTACTTACAAAGTCACAATATCGGCATTGGCATTTCCTACGGCTATATCAAGCGGAGTGCGTCCCTCGTTGTCCGCAATAGACTGGTCTGCGCGGTACCGGAGCAGCAAACATACCTTTTGAATAAAACAAAATCATTTCAATAATGATTCTTATTAGACCAGGGTCGATAATTTTTGAGACCAAAAAAAATTATAGTAGGCTGAAACCCATTAGAAAAGGTAGAGAATATAACAAAAATGAAAGAAAAAATAAATTACGGGCGATCTGAGGTCGGGAAGGGGGAGGGGGTGAGTTTTTAAGGGTAAAAAATGGTTAATCTCGATTTCCGGTAAAACTGCAAGTCCTATGAAAAAAAGTTAAATGGCAAAGTTGTAGGTAATAAAAAGATCTACAACTTTTGTATCGACACTTTTTTCACATAACCTCAAAATTTATGTGAAAAATGCGAATAACCGAGTTTTTGGTTTTTGATTTTTATTTTTTGCAAAAAAAATTATTTTTTGACGAAATTTGGTGAAAACTTACCTTTGTATATCACAAACATACAGTAATTTTATTGATTTAAAATATTCATTTTTTCACCTTATTTTGACTTAATATCGAAAAAGCACCCTTATTTTCAAACGAAAATTCTCACGTCAAAATATCTGCTTTTTTAAAAAAGTTGGGGTGTTTTTTGTTTGTCGAAATCTCTACTTTCTGATGGTATAAAAAAATATACACTACTATGGTAAATGTTCTCAGAAACTGCAAATTAATAATGAAAAAAACTCCAATCCGAAAAATTGATTTGAATCATTATGTATAATTTTGAACTATTTATTAAAATTTACACTTTAATTACTCGAAAAACGTAAGATTTCATGTTATACTGATAAACAGAAAAATACTTGATAATGTCTCTGGTCTCTGGGAAGGGAGGAAATTTCTCAAACCAATCGGTGAGCTTGGCAATGTCAGCTCCATCCTTGTTTTGGCGGGCTTGTCCGGAATCTGCATGCTGCTCACTGGTGGAACCAACAATCCTACGGCCGGCATTATTGAAGAGTTATCCGGTCAAATAGAGCAAAAATGTGAAGCATTTTTTTTCCTTAATTACAGACTTTTAAGAGCGGATACCTCGAAAACTATACAAGATATTAAAAACTTGACTGAATAAGACTTGTAGCAAATTTAATCAGCTTTCACTTTTGTCAAAGTCTCATGTCGCTAGGATGCATAGTTTCCGAAATATATGCGAAAACCCTAAAAATGGGACTTTCAATCCCCCCCCTTCCCCCCGGCTTAAGGGCTACGGGCGGGGACTTTTGATATGTTTACCTCCTAACTAGTCCTAACAAAGTTACGAAGTCAAAAATTGTGTTCTAAGCATTTCCCTCTATACCTTTTCGTTGCCTGGACTAGTATATCTATAGAAAAATATAAACAGGATTTAAAAAAAAGACAAAAAAGTGTTTGAATCACCTGTCCCGTATGACCAGCTTCTGTTGCGAGATGTAACGGTGTTTTCCCATCTTCGTCTTGCAAATTTAACTTACTGCCATTGAGTAATAAGAATGAACAAGCCATCACTGAACCCTGAAAGCAAAAATAGATTAAGTTATTTTGTTGCACTCTTTTCCATTTTCCTATAAATATGTCTAAATAGCTGTACATTGACTCAGCGAGCTGAGGCTGTAATGTTAAAGTCGATGAATCGATGCATTGTTGATTACGTCGTGTCGTGTCTTATTCTATGGCTTAAAAAAAAAGGTAAATTTAAAAAATCAAAAAACCCGACTGCTTAATTATTCTTCAAATAAAAACTGAAAAGAAAAAAACAAGTCCAGTAGTCTATAATTCTGTTAATAAGGAACAAAGCTACTTTAACAGTCGGGACTCATTAAATATTCAAGAATACATAATATTTTTCAACAGTGGGTCCCGACTGTTAAAGTAGCTTTGTTCTTTATTAACAGAATTATAGACTACTGGACTTGTTTTTTTCTTTTCAGTTTTTATTTGAAGAATAATTAAGCAGTCGGGTTTTTTGATTTTTTAAATTTACCTTTTTTATTTCACACTTTTTAGTTAGTATTTTAAGACGGTATATACCGTAGTCTTGTTACTTCAGTAAGGGAATTAATATCGCGGGAATTATTAAGTACCTTGCGTCGGTCTAAAATATTGATTTATTAAGACATATAAAGGCTTTACCAGCGGGTCAAGGCTACAGATGGGCCTCAATTTTCGCAAAAATGTGTGAAGTTAAATTAAATTAAATAAATTTTATAGTAAACTAGCACTTGCTCAAAAAGTCAACTTTTGTTTATGTTTTTTTTAATAGCTTAGCAGTAAATATAAAATTCATTTACTTTTATTCGTCGACTATTTAAAATTGGCAGTGGCTGCATTGTCATGTCAATGCCGGACGTCTAAGATTGTGATATACACAAATTCAGTGTCAGTCCCTAGTCTCATAATTTGATATACCTACATAATTCACAGAAACCCAATATGTAGATGCCAGAAGTTAATTTCAAATGTTTTTAATCACCCTATATACAATACCAATCAATGACGTTTATGTCGCAGGTTGAAGAAAGAAGTAATTCCCGTCTGTTGTTTTGGACAATGGTGGCAACTGCCTTAGATAAATTAAATAATTATGCAATCACCAAAGCAAAATTTATAATATTTGATTAAACTAAAGGCGCGTAATAAAATTTTCATAACGTTAGGTAGAGCACCATAGCAATCTCATTGTGTTCGACCCTTTTTTATTGGTACCTAGTGTAAAGCTCGAATGAAGAGTACTCCCAGTAGTGCAATCATGGCAATTATTTACCAATTTATTTTTTGTTATAAAAATACTGAATAATGTATCACTGTTAAGCACAAATGCTAAGTAACTTTTACAAATATAATCAAATAAACCTATTACTTACTTTATTTTTAAATCTTTTTCATCAATTAAATACTTATCTTATCCTAACTATCTATACTAATATTATAAAGAGGCAAGATTTGTATGTTTGTGTTGTGGGACAAAATGTATTTAAATAAAGAAAAATGTTATTTATTATAACATTTTTCTTTATTTAAATACATTTTGTCCGAGTGACATAGGCTATATTTTATCCCGATAAATAAATTTCGCCCGGACAATGCCCGGGTGGATCACTAGTAAGTATAATATCTCTTATCTAATAGACAAGTCCGTCCGTCCGTCCGTGGTGCTGTTTCAGCGGCCAAACCGTAAGAGATAGGTATAGAGAATGTTTAAGTTATAAGTTAAGAATAGTCTGATAAGACTACAAACCGGATGTGAGTAACGTAGCACTTCCGGTTTTCGAGAAATCACGTGATTTCTATTTCAAACGAAACCACACAAAATCTCCGAAGTTCTCAATTAATTAAATACATTTTTTTTTTGGTGAACATTTGGTTCACTGGTTTGCTAGTCGTCTTATCTATTAGACAAGTCCGTCCGTGGTGCTGTTTCAGCGGCCAAACCGTAAGAGATAGATATAGAGAATGTTTAAGTTATAAGTTAAGAATAGTCTGATAAGACTACAAACCGGATGTGAGTAACGTAGCACTTCCGGTTTTCGAGAAATCACGTGATTTCTATTTCAAACGAAACCACACAAAATCTCCGAAGTTCTCAATTAATTAAATACATTTTTTTTTTTGGTGAACATTTGGTTCACTGGTTTGCTATAATATTATAGATGCGAAAGTGAGTTTGTTTGTTGCGCTTCCGTGCCCTAATAGCTAAATCGAATATAATAAATTCCCATATAGAAGTAGATGGGAACTTAGTTCTTAACTACAACATCGCAATACTTATAGGCGTAGGGTGATGAAAGGGGTGATTTACCTATAAAAATCTACATTATTTACTTAGAATTTTGCAGAATAATTACAAAACCAATATTATCGCGAGCTGATTAATAAATACAGGGATTACAATAAGTATGTACTTACTAGCGAAAAATGGGTTATTTGTCATTAAGCTTATGTACCGTTATTCGAAGCCTACATATTCGAGAGTAGCATTTCCGTTTCCTCTTAGCGTGTCAATTCGGTCATGATACTTACGTCACGTACTACGTCACATCCGCCCCCGCCTCTGGCGTCCCCACTTTTTTACTCGCACCAGGCAGCCGGGCCAGCATGGCAGCGGTCTAGCTCATTGGCGTTTCATTTTCCAGAGCGTTCGGTCGTGCCAAAAAGATATTACCAACTGGTATGTACTTTTTACTAAAATATTCTCTAAATAATATTTATAAAATTAACGGTTTGCCGTTCGTTTTACAACATTACGTCACGGCTACTTAAGGTTTCTTTTATTTCAGAACTAATAACGAGAACTCGTTATTAATTCAAGGATTTTTTATTATTATTTTCTAATATGCGGGTGATTTTCAGATAGAAATATGGTTTTCGAATCAAGCTCTACTTCATCGTCGGAGGACGAAATTACCGCACAGCCAGCGTCTGCCGAATCTTCAAAAAGGAAGGCGCCGGAGACCACGGATTCTGTTCAACCACCTAAACGTCGTAAATACGGTGAAGAGATAAAGAATCTCTCTGAACAGGTCAGTGCTATCATGAATATTCTGTCAAATGGCTACCAGGGCTTTCAACCTATTTACCAGTCTAGTCCTAATAGTAAATAAAACTAGTTTAAACGGGATAATGCACGAAACTTTATAACTACCTACCTTCGAAGGTAGCTCGACAAATTAAACAAAAGTTTTATTCTGACGACGAAGCCTGGAAAGGCTACGAAACGTCAATAAATAAATAAAGTTTCGTGCATTATCCCGTTTAAACTAGTTTTATTTAATGAGTGATGTGCGTGCAAACCTAAGAAACAAATAGTCCTAATAGTGTCTCGATGGAGGCTGACGTAAGCCGGGATCTTTATTCAGAACCGCAGGCTGGACCTTCTCATGCATCACAAAGCCCGAGAGCTCCGCCAGAACCCACAGCTATTAAACTCCCTATTCGTACTGTACTTAAAGAACCTGCCATGCCTAAAACATCAGATAGTTTGCTTGCTACAATTAAATCCGTTCAGCATTTTGATTCAGATAATTGGACTAATGTTAGATATGTAGATGTTCAAAAGCAATATTGCTGGCTATACAGATCTCGAAACTAATGAAGAGTTCAAATCTTACGATAAATATAATAATCTTAGTCTTTGTGAGCGTGGTTTCGCGGCAATATCCCAGGCATTAATAAAGCAGTCGCAAAGTGCACAAAGCGGCTTTGAAGCGCTAATTTCATGGTCGAAAACTGCCGAGCTTTCACCACAGTCTATTCAATCTAAAATTAATGAAATTTTTATTGAGGGTAGTTTCCAAGAAATTTCTAATGATGCATTACAAATAGCGTGCGGCCATCGAGCTGATTTAATACAACAAAGACGTGACTATATCTTAAGATCTGTTAAAGACAAGTACATTAGGGCGGCATTGAGGCGTATACCCCCAACTGCTGAAAATTTATTCAATAAAGATTCTTTATCGGCTGCAATAGAAAAAAATGGCGGTGTATATAAAATAATGTGGCCACTCCGTGTGCCATCTGTAAATAAGTCTGCTGCGCAAGCAGGCGGCTCCATACAACCATACACAAATATGAAAATGCCTGCGCAAGGCTCGTATGACTTTAATTGCGGAAACAAACCTTTTCCATTTCCAAAATTTCCAATGCAAGGTCCCTACTTGCCTGCATTTCCTACGCAAGGAAATATTCGATCACAAAAACGATATAACCTACAAAACAATAAGCCCACACGGCAGCAAACGATCAACCCAAATGGATTTCACTGCTCTACCGGTAGTAAATCAAGAAATAAACCTAATGTCCCCCGCAAGGACTACCCACAGAAAAGAAAATACTGACTCGAACCAATTCCGAGCAGGTCAGCTGGCCAAATACATAGACCAATGGAAAATATTAAATGCCCCTCCGTTTCTTTTAAAAATAATTCAGGGGTTTCGAATACCCTTTTATTGCAAACCCCCATTGCACAGACCAGAGGTTACGAAATTTCAAACCCCACAGTCCAAAGAAATGGAGACTGTTATAACCGAACTATTACAATCGGGCGTTCTGGAGCCGGCAACCCCGAGCCCCAGTTTTATCTCGCCCATGTTTCTGACCCCCAAAAGCGACGGCACACTCCGGCCAATTTTCAATTTAAAAAACCTAAACTTCTACGTTCAGATAAGCAAATTTCACCTAATAAATATGCACAGAATCCCAGACTTCATACAAGCAGGGGATTGGCTAGCGAAAATAGATCTCTCGAACGCGTATTTTCATCTGCCAATTGCAGAAGCTCACAGGTGCTTCCTTCGTTTGATATTCAAAGGCCATTTATTCCAAATGACTTGCCTACCCTTCGGTTTGGCTTGTGCCCCAAAAATATTCGCTTCCCTAACCAATTGGATCGCCCAAATCCTCAGAGAACGTGGAATGCGAATAGTAGTATATTTAGACGATTTTTTATTGGCAAACCAGGATCCACAGATGCTGAAAAATCAAGTCCACGATGTGATGGTTACCCTACAAAAACT